ATTTTATTTCATTTTTTTGATGAAGTGATGAAATGTCTACCTGTTAGAATTAGGTTAGAAATGTCAGAAATTTCTTAAATATATTTTCATTGTGTGGTTGTTTTTATTTCATTTTATTTTATGATTTTAGTTAATTTTTTATTTTATTATTTACTTTTGATTAAGTGAAGAAATTTCTGCCTGTTAGAATTCATATATAATTAATATATAAATTAATATATAAATAATTATAATTTAGTATTTAGAAATATATACAAAATATAATAATTCATAAGGTTAGAAATGTCAGAAAATTGGTTAAATACAAACATCCACACAATGAAAATGTATTTTATTTTATTATTTTATTTTAATTTAATTATTTTATTATATATATGTTTTTACTTTTGATTAAGTGAAGAAAATGTCTACCTGTTAGAATTCATACACAATTCATGTATGAATTAATATATAAATAATAATAATAATTTAGAAATATATACAAAATATAATAATTTTATAGTGTGTGCGTGTGCGCGCACGTGTGTGTGTGAGTGTGCGTGTGAGAGAGTGTGCGTGTGCGAGTGTGTGCGAGAGTGTGTGTGTGTGTGCGAGAGTGTGAGTGTGTGAGCACGTGAGTGTGTGTGAGCGAGTGTGTGAGAGAGTGTGTGTGCGTGTGTGTGAGAGTGTGGGAGCGTGTGTGTGTGAGTGTGCGAGTGTGTGCGAGAGTGTGAGTGTGTGAGCACGTGAGTGTGTGTGAGCGAGTGTGTGAGAGAGTGTGTGTGCGTGTGTGTGAGAGTGTGGGAGCGTGTGTGTGTGAGTGTGCGAGTGTGTGCGAGAGTGTGAGTGTGTGAGCACGTGAGTGTGTGTGAGCGAGTGTGTGAGAGAGTGTGTGTGCGTGTGTGTGAGAGTGTGGGAGCGTGTGTGTGTGAGTGTGCGAGTGTGTGCGAGAGTGTGAGTGTGTGAGCACGTGAGTGTGTGTGAGCGAGTGTGTGTGTGTGCGCGCGCGTGTGAGAGTGTGAGTGTGTGTGTGTGTGAGAGAGTGTGTGAGCGTGTGAGTGTGTGTGAGCGCGTGAGTGTGTGCGTGTGCGCGCACGTGTGTGTGTGTGCGTGTGTGAGAGAGTGTGCGTGTACGAGAGTGTGTGTGCGGGAGTGTGCGTGTGAGCGCGTGAGTGTGTGTGCGCATGTGTGTGTGCGAGTGTGTGCGAGTGTGTGAGCGTGTGCGTGAGAGTGTGTGAGCGTGTGTGTGTGAGTGTTTGTGTGTGAGTGTTTATGTGTGAGTGAGTGTGTGTGTGCGAGAGAGTGTGTGTGTGTGTGCGCGTTAGT